ACCCACTTTTGGGCCCAACCGGAATTCCGGTTGGACCACCGGGGGTCCAACCGGCCCGGTTCTATCCGGCCCGGTTCAACCGGCCGGTTGCCAGCACAGCCCTGGAAAATAATGCAAATATATGAGAGCCGTTACTAGACTGAGTAGACTCTAATACTCTATAGAGTCTATACTATAGTGATTATGATCATAACACAGAGAAATAACTGTCGTCTGTGATGGCTGTGGTGTGCAGGAGGAACTTACACTGTTGTACAAGAGGCTGAAATTCTGTTCCGCAGAGCTGGAAACCATGCGGGTGAAATCGTACGTGCCTGCCTGCCTCCCTGCCTGCCTGCCTCCCTGCCTGCCTGCCTCTGCCTGCCTGTCTGCCTGCTCACTTGATCACCCCAGGCAGTGGAGCAATGTTGGATATTAGAGCAATGTCTTCCTCCTTTGACAGAGATATCTGGGAACGACAAAATGCCTGTTGAGTCTGTTGACATGTTGCTCCAGTTTCAGCAAGGTTGCATAATGCCCAACAGCAAATTGTTCACAGCTAATCTGCAACCTGATCAGTCGCTTGAGAAAAGGAATTTGGATTATGTGGACCATTTCTGGATTTATGCATATGATGATACTATGATCCTTGTGCAGGGGACGCATATTATTTGGACCATTTTGCACCATTTTTTATCAGCATATTGCCCGAAATTTCTCGATCTAATGCTAATCTGCAACCGGATCAGTTTATGCCATGGTCACCGTCCGGACGTCCGGACCGGGTTCCAGACAGTCCGGTCTCCGGTGTCCGGTGTCTGGTGTCTGGTCCTGATGTCCAGATGGAGGCCACTGGGGCAAAAAAAAAAAGGGGGGGCGGCCGAGGACGTTTATCGGGTCCTGACCGCCCCCCGAAAAATAACGGGGTGATTTTTCAGTGTCGTTTCACCCCACCGGACAGGGCCTAGAGGTCCAGACACAAGACACTGCAGGCGGGTTTCACACAGGCCCGAGCAATTTCAAAGCGGCCGTTTCGACGCGGCACCCACCGTTGCTGCCCGTTGGAGAGAGAGAGAGAGAGAGAGAGAGAGAGAGAGAGAGAGAGAGAGAGAGAGAGAGAGAGAGAGAGAGAGAGAGAGAGAG